CAGCCCCTGCCAAAAGCAAGTAAAGTCAGCAAAGGTGCCTACTTTGTTGTTGGATGTCCACAGGCAGATGGTGCTGAGTAGACGCTTGTGGAATCAATGAGGAAATATGTACAGTGGGGCTCACTGAAGAATGACCCACAAAAAACAAGTGAGGAAATATGTACAGTGGGCCTCAGACAATATAGGTGGGGCTCACTGAAGAATGACCCACAAAAAACAAGTGAAAGAGTAAGAGTAACTGAAGAGTGAGCCAAGGGTGTTTGCGCTTAAAATTCAAGAAAAATGCTAGGACATGCTTTAGTTTGTACAGAACCTCACTTTGAAGAATAAATCACTTTCCCCCCCGCAAGTAATTTATAACACTTATTGAAAAAGAAAACAGATTCGCAAAGAATCTACTTTGTGGCTCTGACACAGAAGTTGCAGATACCACTAAAGATTTCCATTGTTCACAGTATTAGGTTAAAACAAATAGACCAATGGTAGTTGCTACAAAAGTTCAGTGTAAATAAACTAGCAATGGGAAGCCATGTAGGGTTTCCTCACATTTTACTAAGAAGAATGAAGAAAGCAAAATGACAAAGTCCCCCTCGGAACCTTGACTTAAGGTGACATGCCCATTATCTAAACTGACGCTACTATTTGGGGAAGACCGTGTTTTTTTGTTTTTGTTTTTGTTTCTTTTTAAATGAATTAGTTGAAAGCAAGTCTTTCTTCTGGAGTCTAAAGTTCTACACATGTGATTAACTCCTTCAAGGCACCTTTGAAGTATAATTGTGCTATCACACATATAATAGTATAAAATTATCTCTGCTTATGACAAACAAGATAAAGCTACCATCTCTGAAGTACAACCTATATGAACCTAAGACTTCACTTTTTGAGTCCATGTCATTCATAATGCTATGTCACATTTCAGCAGTAAAACTGGCTCCATGCCTCTACCTTCAATCTTCGTACGTTGCTTGGTAACTTAGGGACTCAGCAACTAAATAAATGGCTTTGCATTTTGGAAGGTGACAAAACTTTAACGAACTAAAAGAGAGGTAGAGTGGAGGTTAGAAATGACCAACGCTTGAGAAATTTGTCCTAGCGTACCAGTCCTCCAATCTTCCAGAGAAGAGAAGATGCTGACAGCAATAAGAAGAAACTACTGCTTCCCCCTCATACTTGCTGAGAGCACCCTGTCCTCTCCCAGTTTATGAGGGCTTTCACTTAGCCCTGTAGACTTCACATGTGTTTCCTACAGCCAGCATTAGAAGATCAAATCTTCCTAGTCTGTCCTCTGGAGATGAGGAAAAAATGTTCAGACGAGATTATTTCAAACACATCAAAGAATTCATATCTGTGTCAGTGACTCTCCCCAAGGAAAAAAAGAAAAACCTGTCATATGGCATATGAACAGTCAATACATACAAGAGAAGAACTGCACGGAATTGTTGATACTTAAATGATATTCCTACTTGAACTGGTATTAAAGAAAGTGTAGTTAAATGTGAGTCAGGCAGACTTGCTCCCAATCCTCTGATCTTGGTAAAATCTTTCAAAATCAGTTTTCCCAGTGACTGAGTTGGGCCAGATGCAGAGTACCCTAGAGGCCTGGTGAGTGGCCAGGGTTCCATCATTTTTCCCATTCATTGAAACAGCCTCACTTTCATTTCTTTAATATAATAAAGTTCTGCTAAACAAAAACAAACAAACAAACAAACAAGCAAAAAGCGAGTTGATTTTAAAGTTCCTGGTGACTCCATCATTCTCAGGACAAAAAAATATTCTTAAGAGTTATCTTAATTATATACCTGATAAAACTAGGAAAAAAGTTAAAACTACCCATAATCTCTGACTCTCCGATATTATCTCCCTTTGTAAATGCTTATGGAATGTGCTGGCTAAAGTATTCCAAAAATTCCTGCAAAATCCCAGGGGGCACCATTCATACCAAAGATGTCAACAGTGTTCCCTAGGGTGTAATACTCAGTGGCCCTGAGGAAGGTGCTTTTAGAGCATAGCGAGCCAGTGTTTGAATCTCATCTCTGCCACTTACTAGCTATATGACCCTTGGCAAGCTATTTAATAATCTCTCTGATCCTATTTCCCTCTCTATAAAATGGAGATAATAAATTGTATTTCCAAAGGCTGCTATAAAAGCTAAATGAGATAACATGTAAAGAACCTGGTATAAGGTGGCACACCAACACCAATATTAGTTCCCTAAAATCACAAAAACTATCACATTTCACAGTACAGAAAATAATTGTATCTAGGACTTGTGGCCCATACAGTAAGAAGAGACCGTGAAATTGGAAACAGATCTCATCTGAAGATAAGAAAATGAAGATCAGAAGATGAGGTAGGTGTCCCCAAAATTAAAAAGGTCAGAATGCAGTGACCTGAAAACTACATAATTTTTAAGTCTCAGAATTGTGATAACTGGCATAAAGGAAGACTAATCAGCATGCTAATTAATTAGAGTGTGTTGGTACAACCGTTATCAAAGATAAGTGACTGTTTAAATAAGACGGACTGCACTCATTAAGGACATATGTGCTGCCAACAAATCACAATGTGTTAATTTGAACTTTTTTGCCTTCCTTAGGAATCCAGGACCAGTCAATATTTAACTGCACCAAAGCTTTCATTTGATTCTTAAATTAAAAAGTAACCTACACAATAAAGCTATGCCTTATGAATTTTAGATTCTGAAAATGATAGAATTAAAAGGGATTTTAGATAACCTCTCCTGTTACACTTGGGAAAACTGAGATCTAAAATGGATGACAGACACACCTACCATCACAAAAAAAAGAGTCAATTCTGACACTTCATTTATTCTTTTTCTTACTACAGGAAGTCAATCTTTAGCTTTATCTGACACACACAGCAACAATTTAATATTAGATATATGGATTCCTGTCTCAACTCTGTATAATTTGGGGTTTGTAGGGCACTGGAAGACATGTGAAGACTGGGCGAATAGCTGAGAGAAGCAG